CAGACAGTTTCGACTTAGTGGTCTACCGTCTCCCTCTCTCTCTCTCTCTCACACACACACACACAGAGACACACACACACACACACACACACACACACACACACACACACACACAGTAGCGAGTGCGGGTTTTCCCTCTCGGGCATAATACTATCGGAATCGGGACTATTTTACAAGTCCCGTTCTCTTCCCGGTCCCACAAGCCACGTGTTTGAAAATTGGGCACTGGGAATGCCATGCAGGCTGCGGGAAGTGATGGGACTGGGACAAGTGCTGGTACTGGGAGTGGGAGTGGGACTGGGGCTAGGTACGCTTTATACTACAGGACTGCCAATGCCACTCTGAGATGACTACAAGTCGGTGGCACTCTGGCTTGCACTACCGTCTTCCCCCGAACACAACGCACCCTCATTTTGGTGCGTACCTGACCGGAAACATATCTTGTATACGTTCATTTTCAGGGTGCGTTATGTTCGGGGGAAGACGGTAGGACTGGGAGTGGGAGTGGGAGTGGGACTGGGACGAGGATTGGAACTGGGACTGGGACCGAAAAGGGATGTATGGCACCCGATATATGGCTTATATACATTCATTATATGGGCGCGTTGTGTGCGGGGGAAGACGTGTAAGCATTTCCGATGCTCCCCATCCACCTCCACATGTGGAGAAAGGATAATGTAACACCCTGTTAGCATTTCTTTCCTCCTCCCTCTCCTCTCCCTCTCCTCCTCCCTCTGTTCTCTCCCTCTCCTCTCCTCTCCCTTTCTCCTTCCAATCCGCCTGTGGCATGCAGAGCATAGCGGACATGAAGTAGAGAGGTGCTCTTGCCTTGCTTCAAAAAAAAAATACTATTATTATTTCTTCCTCCCTCTCCTCTCCCTCTCCTCTCCCTCTCCTCTCCCTCTCCTCCCTCTCCTCTCCCTCTCCCCCCTTTCCCTCTCTCCCTCCTCCTCCCCTTCCTCTCCCTTTCTCCGTCGTAGCGGACATGATGTAAAGAGATACTCTTGTCTTGCTTTTAAAATGCTCTTATTATTATTCAAAAAACAAAAGAGGAAAAAAAAAGGTTTTAAAAATTAAAAACCTAATAAGTTAATAATGTTAATCGAACGTCGAACTTATCCGCTGTAGTAGGCCCTTTTCCAAGTTTTTTTCCAGATTTTCTTTTTTTCGTAGTCTTTAGTCTTTATTCAAGTTTATTGACTTTTTTTTTTTTTAATAATTGGAAAAGTATAGTCAATGTGAGGAACGTATGTTTTGCCAGGATTCCCACTGTGCAAATTAGATGAGGATACTCACATTGGGACTTTTTGGTCTGAATCTGGCCCGAATGACGACCACATTCATTCGAGATAAGCCTGCTCCCCTTATTAATCTCATTATTCATTTTGATGTCATAGGTCTCTCAAAAGAGGTCCACCTTTCTTGAACACCAAAATGGATCGTACTCTCACTGTAGGACTATCTCGAATGAATTTGCTCGTCATTGGGGCCAGATTCAGAAAAACAAACTCACCTTTTTCTTCAAATTGTGTTCAGGATCTTCAGAATCATTCACTGTGCTTTCTGTTCAGAGACAGGATTAAACTTTTCCCCCATCTTTTTTTTTTTTTTTTCCAGATGTGTCGACTCTTGTGCCTGCAGCTCCCTCCTCGTATTGTTCTGCTTTCGCCGACGAAAAATGTAGACTGTTCGATGAATTTGATCGTCATTGGGGCCAGATTCAGAAGCAGAAACTTACCTTTTTTGTGCAGCTCCGTCCTGCTACTGTTCTGCTTTCGCCAACGAAAAATGTAGACCGTCCAATGAATCTGCTCGCCAGATTCACAAGCAGAAACTCTACTTTTTTTGTGGATCTGTGAAGTTTGTGCTTGCAGCTCCTCCTCCTGTTGTTGTTGTTGTTCTGCTTTTGCGAACAAAAAATATCTATTTTCAGATGAATTTGCTCGTGATTGGGGCCAGATTCAGGAGCAGAAACTCACCTTTTTTTTTTGTGAATCTGTGGACTTCTTGCCTGCTGCTCCTCATCCTGTCGCTCTGCTTTTGCTGACGAAAAATATTGACTTCTGAAATGCATTTTCTTGTAATCCTGGCCAGATTCAGAAGCAGCAACTCACCTTGTTCTTTGTGGATCTGTGGACTTTTTTGCCTGCAGCTCCTCCCCCTCCTCTTGTTGTTCTGCTTTCGCCAACTAGAGGAACCTATGAGGGTGAGTCTATATTATTCTTTTTTTTTTTTTTTTTTTTTCCACCTTGTGGATAGAGACAGGATAGGGGAACAAAAAAGAAAAAGGAAAAAAATAGGTTTCGCAGATAATCACAAAGGGACATGAACATTAATGAAAAGAAAAAAAGAAAAAAAACTTACGAGATAGGATAGAATATTTCTGCGCCGTTGTGTTTTATTCAGCACCCATTGTGTTCTATTACACATAGGGTGGCCCGGGACCACTTGCCCGGCCGGACCCCCCAGGGGAAAATCCATGGGGGTAACGAGGAGGAAGAGAAGCACGATGAAATGGGTGATGGGGTTGTTGCAGATCATCCTTGTAGCACTTATCATACGTTTGTGTTTTTATTCATTTATTTATGGGACGCCTGTTGGTTCTTGTCGTGTTGCCTGCCATGAGCACGGCCCAGGAGAGAGGAGAGAGTAACTGCTGTGCCATGCCCCGCTGTTTGGAGGGTGTCGAATTGGGGAAAACTCGAAGGGTGGAGAATTGAGAAAGGTTCAGAAACATTGAAAAACTCAAGTTGTAGAGTAACCAAGCAAGTTGGAAAAACTGAAAATTTTTAAGTTGATAACTTGGTACTTGGTACTTAACTTGGTACTTAACTTGGTACTTAACTTGGTACTTACTTGCTGGCATCTACGTGGGTAAGAGACCGGGAAATGCAATGGGAGAAACACAGAAGCCTCAGGGAGGGGATTGAGAGTAGGGGTTGGGGGTAGGGGGCGAGAGCATAGTGTTGCAAGGCCATCCCTACTCATGTTGGGTTGTTTCTTTCTTCTGTTTTCCATCACCCCTCCCAACCATTTCTCGCCCCCGCCCCTGCCACCCCTCCTCAACCCCCGTGCCCCTCTCCTCCTCCCTCTCTCTGCCTGCTCTCCGCCCGTCCCTCCCCTCCCTCCCCTCCCTCCCCTCCCTCCCTTTCTCAAACGTTGAACCTTGAAAACTGTTGTGTATATGGTTATTCAGTGGTCGAACTCAGTCTTTGGTTTCTTAATCGTGTCCGGAACAGTTGTGGAGGAAGCGTATTCCCAAGAGAAGAAGTTGCAGAGACAGCCTAGAGGACTCGACAAACTTTCGACGGCGACAAGGGAAGCTTTCAACTCGTTGCAGCCAGGGCCATGGGATCGTCAAGTACGAGAGGAGTTGGTTCGGGAAGTCAATCAGTTTGCAGCATATGTTTTTCCTGGTAAGAGGACGATGTTTGCACTATGTACATGCTATATGCTCAGATCCAGTCTTCTTCTCGCCACCTGCACACCTCCTTCTGTCCCCTCCTTCCCTCCCATCCTCCCTCCCTCCTTCTCTCCCTCCCACCCTCCCTCCCTCCCTCCCTCCCTCCCTCCCTCCCTCCCTCCCTCCCTGTCAATTCTCAGCTACATGAAGCGGGCTTTTTCATTCTTTTTTGTGTTTTTTTTTGCTTGTAAACGTTGAAAGGGGCTGACCCCCAGCGTGATTCTTATGGTCTTTTTAAGTTTTTATCCGATATATATTATATATATATACACCGCCGCCGCTTCCACCGCTGTGGTCTCCACTGCTGCAGTTTCTACTGCTGCTGCCGTTGTGGTCTCCACTGCTGCAGTTTCTACTGCTGCTGTTTCAACTCCGGGTTTCACTCCAGCAGTTTCTACTACGGAAGTTGCCTCCGCTGCGGTCCCTGCTACGGAAGTTGCCTCTGCTGCGGTTCCTACTACAACACTTGTCT